ATAATAGAAAAAGAAAAAATGGAAAAAAAATTGACGAGGAGCGTAAAAAAACAAGATAAGACTCTAAAGAAAGAAAAAACAAATTGTGAAAGAGAACCAAAAGAAAATAAAAAGCTCGGATAATTAAAAAAAATAGCTAAAGCTTTAAATAAGTCTGAAGGGGAACGTAGACAACCCATAGCAATGATCTCAAACAAAAACTAAAAAAAGTGTAAAAATTCTCTTTCCTATTGCAAAATATCAAGAAAAGTCTAAAGAAGCATTGAAAGTCTTAACACACCTACACCAGGAAAGTAGAAGTAACAATATTGAGGTATTTGAGCCTCCACTATCTGAATTTGTTCCTACACCAGAATTTCATTCTTACACAAAATCATCAAGCCCTGTAAATAACCAAAATAATATTGATATTTTCAAGCATTCACCTACACCAGAAGCGAATTTGAGATTATCTCCAAAAATCTTCTGGCCCACACTAAATCTCCAAGCCCTGAGAAAAAAATTGTAAGCAAACGAAAATTAGTTGATGATAATACAAAACAGCTCTCAACAAAAATTACAATTCTGTCTGATAATTTATTATCAAATATTAGTTCACACTTCGAAAATCGTAACTCGGTATCAAACATTCTTCCGCGCTCTATAAATACAAAGTTGGTATCAAACATTCCATTACATTTTAAAAATCAAAAAGTTTCTAAATATGTGTGTTATCTATGTGTACTAATATACAGAGTATAAGGAAGGCATTAGATGCCAAATGTGTCTTAGAACATATCATGTAACTTGCGTAACTACATTCTATGGAGACGCATATCAAGTATATGTTTGTAAATCTTGTCAGAATAAAAAATAAAAGTTTACTTTGACATGCTGTTTTTTTTTGTGTCCACATTAATTACAAAATTCCTGCTCACCCAAATAGGTACCTACCTATCTTAAATTACGAGTTAAGTGGTAAAATATAACTTTAAAAAAATGATGGCCAATCACTAATACATATCGTGTCAATAACTGGAACAGTGTGGCCAATATCTGGTTCATTGGTACATTTACAAAAAAATACATGTAAAATACTTCAGATATGAAAGATTCACATAATAAAATTGTGCAACATGCAGAAATAATAATAAAATTCCATGATGTTAAAAGTAGTCATAATAGCGCACAGTGTCAAAACATTTCATAGATATATCGATGTGCTCTCCTTAAGAGGCCAATAACTATTGCCTTTACCCTATTTCCAGCGTGCCTAAAGGCAGCCATTATGATTCCACTTTATAAGGGTGGTGAAAAATCGGATGTCTGCAACTATAGAGCTATTCCCTTACTACCGGTCCTATTCAAAATTATTGAGAGACTTATAACAGCCCGACTTGGGTCCTTTCTCGTTGAAAACAACATTTTATCACAAAGTCAGTTCGGCTTTTTATTTAATAAATGTACCAGTGTTACTATGTTTTCTGTACTACATGAGGTCTATCAAGAACTAAACAATAACCTTTACACTGCCACTGTTTTTTATGACTCTGCCAAAGCTTTTGATTGTGTAAATCACCAACCACACTTTGATAAAAATAACTAAATTTCTACGGAATTCGAAGTATTTTTTTGAATTGATTCCAATCTTACTTGGGGAATAGAAAACAACTAGTTAGTCACAAGGTTCAGTATTGGGTCCTCTAGTTTTCCTTATCTGTATAAATGACATCACTAACTTAAAAATCGATGGAAAAAATTTCGTTCTGAGGAATCTAATATTGCAACTCTTCATGCAACTATAACCTTGGATATACTTAAAATAAAAACCTGGTCTGACTCTAATTTGCTCTCTTTTAACGTGGATATCACAACAGCATTATCCTATAAATGAGCTCTTCAAACCTTGTTTTCTTAATAACAGCCAGAGCAGTATCGTTGCTTCTGTAAAATTTCTTGGTATTTTTATAGACATTAACCTTAAATGGTCCCTTCATATCGATTTGTTAAGTAAAACTAGATCCAGCTTGCTATGCAATAAGATGTTTCGAAAGAAATCAATTTAGCATCTTCCAAAATAAGATATTTTTCTTTGTTCGAGTCTCACCTTCGTATGGTCTTCCTTTTTGGGGTTGCCGTACAGCTGCCCAATCTGATGTTATTTAAAATTACAAAAAAGAGCAATACGGTATCTTTTTGGCATCTGTAGAATAACACATTGCAGAAGCTACTTCAAAAATCACGGGATTTTACCTCTTTCCCTCTTTATATATTTTAGAAACTGTTTGCTTAATTCATAAATACCTACATCTTTTTTCAGCAAGACCTAATCATGACTACTCTACCAGAAATTTAACCTTTGATGTGTATTTACCGATCCCGTCCACGGAGTCCCGTCCTGGACTACCAAGTTATATAAAATGCGCTTTAGACAGTGCGAATTGTGACAAAATCATTAGGTTTTTAAAGAAAACGAAATTGTATAATCAAATATAAGTGATACCTCAAGTAAAATTCTAAACAATAATCAACTTTGTAAAAACTTTATAGTTTATATTTTATACTAATCATTATAATACCTGTATTATAGTCTATATTGTACCACCGCTAATAACCTTCTAATGATATATTCGCAATACAAAAAAATCCCAATAAAAAAAATATAGTTATTTTTATTATTTTATCCAAGAAAAAAGTCCACCCAGAAAATTAAAGGAGAATAAAGAACAATACCAAAACAAATTAAGAATAGCTGAAGAACTAAAGCTAACAGACCTAAATCTAGATCAACTAAACAAGGCCATCACAAAGAACTTCTAAAGACTAGCTTAGAAGTAGCACCAGCAAAATCAGACAAAAAATCAAAACTAAGTGCCATATCTTTAGACATGCTACAACAACGGAAAAGCCTACTACAAGAAAATAAAAGAAATACAACTGATTACAAAACCCTTAGTTCAGAAATAAGACGACAAATAAAACAAGATCTCAAACGGCAATCAAGAAGAACGAATCGAGAAGATTATAGAAGAAAATAGAAACTTAAGATCTATCAAGTCCCACCTAGGAAAAAATAAAATCATAGAGATGGAAAATAAACAAGGTGTAATAGAAAAAAGCAGAACTCAACTATCTAAGATAGCAAGTGAATATTATAGTGACCTCTACAGCTCTAAAAACAGTCCACTTGATACAACTCAAGAAAACCTGAAAAAGAAAATAATGAATGTAAACTTTGAAATATTACCTCCCATAACCGAAGAAGAAATAGAAAAAGCAATTAGAGATATGAAAAGAAATAAGGCTCAGGGAGACGATGAAATTATAATTGAAATGTTAAAAGAATGGGGGGCAAAGATAAAAGAATACCTAAAGATACTTTTCAATAAATGTTTGTTTGAAGGACAAATACCGCAAGAGTGGAACAAGTCAAATACAATTCTGATATATAAGAAAGGAAATAGATTAAAATTAGCTAACTATAGACCAATATCTCTCTTGTCACAAATCTATAAAACTTTCACTAAGGCGATCACAACTAGACTAAACAACAAATTTGATGCATACCAACCAGTTGAGCAGGCAGGATTTAGAAAGGGGTACAGCACAATCGACCACCTTCACACTCTTAAAATATTGATAGAAAAGACCAACGAATACAACCTTCAGACAAGGGTGTCAGACAAGGGGATACAATCTCACCCAAACTATTTACTCTGGCGTTGGAAGACATTTTTAAATCTATAGACTGGGACAATAAAGGGATTTGTATAAACGGGAAATATTTAAATCATCTAAGATTCGCCGATGATGTACTCCTGATAGCAACAACTATGGAACAACTACGAATAATGATTTTAGACCTAGAAAAAACATCTCTTGAGAAAGGACTAAAAATTAATCTAAAGAAAACTAAAATAATGACTAATACAGAAGACAGATCCGTAATTACCATAGGGGGAACAAACATAGAACACGTTCAAGAATATATTTACTTAGGACAAGCTATCAGAGCAGACAAAAGTAACCAGACTAAAGGAATAACCAGAAGAATAAGAATGGGGTGGGCTGCATTCGGAAAACTTTCATATACTATCAAAAACCAAAAAATACCTTTAAAACTAAGAACGAGGGTATTTAATGCATGCGTCCTACCTGTTCTGACATATGATGCCCAGACATGGACGTGTATCAAGAGCAACTTATATAGAGTAAAGAAAACTCAAAGAGTTATGGAAAGACAAATATTGGGAATATCGTTGAGAGATAAAAAGAGGAACGAGTGGATAAGATGCAAAACCAAAACAACAGACGCTGTCGAACATGCATTAAAATTAAAATATAAATGGGCTGGGCATAATGAAAGATATCAGGATGGAAGATGGAATAAAGAAATTGGCCGCTGGAGACCATGTACTGCAAAAAGATCAAGAAGTCGACCGCAAATGAGATGGAAAGATGACATTGAGCAAAGCGCAGGTCCAATCTGGAAAAGACAAACAGAAGACAGAGACAAGTAGAGACAAATGTGAGAGGCCTATATTCAATACATGTATAGATTTTGGGCTATAGAAATTTAAAAACAATAGAAATTGTAATTTTCTTTTTATTTTTGCACTAATAATTGCATATTTTTCTTTCTATATTGCAAGTAAATTGGAAGAATTTTCTATTAACTTTCTTAGCACAGTGATCCGTTTAAGTCAAAGCTTTTATCCCTAATCCAAAATAGCAGAAAATTCATGAAATATACTTAAGCTATAAGATCCATTGAAGAAGAAAAGTATTCAATTGTAAAATTAAATATGTTAAATCCAAATACCTTCAATTTTTTTTGTTTTTTTTTTTTGTATCTTCATCAACATAACAGAGAGGTTTATTACCTATTGTTTATTAATGCTCCTATTATTAGGTAGGAATTAAATAAAAATTGTTATTCCAAGAGCTTGAGTTTAACCATTAACCACTGTGTTTGTATAACTAAATAAACAATAAAACAAAATATTTATTCTCTGAAAACCACAACTTAGAAACCGGACTACAAAAGAATTCATTATGAGTCCCATTCCTTAATGATTTTTCAATGATTGAACATTTATCACTAATTTGTTATCTTTGGGTTAACCCTCATTAAATACTACTAATACTAAATGGTAAGAATGTTGCCTAATTCATATATATTTACGTATTTCATGTTTATCTAAATTTAGTTTATAGTAGTCGGTGACATCGTCGTTTTTACAGTGGAAAATTAAGCAACATGAAGACTATCATTTTTGAATGTGTGATTTTTTTGAGTGTAGGATTTACGATATGTGCCCCCAATTTAGTGTTAACGACAGATGCTACGCCTCCAAAGACACAAAATGAACAGAAAGAGGTAAGAATAAAAATATTTTTCTTTTATTCAGGTCCCTTCTCCTAATGAAGCCAACCATGGCCATTTTGAGTTTGTTAACTACATTTCTAAAGTGTTCCATTTTCTCAAATATTTAAAGAAAAATATTGTTTTCGTACGTTCTGGGTTTTATTTTGTTGAATAATTTGCGGGGTCACTGTTAGTAGCGAATACTTTTCCAATCATTTTGATTTAGTGTTATTTCACATTTATTTTTTATTTCCTATAAATTATAACTAGAGACTAGATTATATGCTCTAAAAATGTTTAAAATATGCATGCAACATGCACTTAAAAAGTAACCAGATATGCCTTTATTATATGCAATATATATTTATATATGCATTTAAAAAAAATATATTTTTTAATTTTTAGGGCTTGAGATTTGGTGAGAAATGAAATTATAGTATAACTTAAATGTTTATTTATTACTACATTTAATAAAAAATATAAATGAAAATTTACAAGAAAATGTCCTCGTTCTTGCTGTTACAGTATAGTATGCCTTCTACCAGTTAATATGGGTTTATATGAGGAAAACGCTCTTTCAACATCACAGGATGTAATTGGTGCAAATCTAAAATTTGACACTAGCGAGGGATCCATATTAATAACTTCATTAACACTATAACGCCGAATTTTTAATGTAGTCAAAAAAAAATTTTTTTATTCCTTATTACTTATTTTGCTATTATTAATTTACTGATTTTTTTTTAAATATTAGGTGTTTTTTTGAAACGTTACGAAATCGTCACAAAAGTCCTTTGTTTAGAAATAACTCATGATTTAAATTTTGAAAAGTTTTGATTTTTTGCTTAATTTTACATACATAGTAATGCACAATATCGATATAAAAGACATAATAAATTTGAAAAACCTCAGTTTATTATAAATTAAATACAAAAATAGAAGTTATTATGTAGTGTGGAAATGTATAAAACAGTTCTTTTCCTTTGTAATGCACAGGTGTACTTTACATTTGGTGCACATATATACTGGAGCACTTCTACAATTGATATTTTTACACCTCCCCTATCTGTGACCATGGGCAAGTGATCAAGCCCATCTAGACGTATGTCTGCTACCGGAATACTTTTAGTGGCTGGACCTAGCTTCTTCTTTTTTGAAAATTTTGCATCTGTGCTGGTTTTTGATGGACGACCCCTTTTTGATTGTTGGGTTCTTTTCCCTTCCAATAGCAGTGCCTCTGCAATGCTCATTTTGAATTCTTGGAGATTAACTATGTTTCTTTTAGGTACCTGTAAGGATTCGCAGTCGCTTCTGTAAATGAGCCAAGAGTTTACCACAGTAACATCTAAAAAGTGAAAAAACAATTTGTGAAAGAACTTTTTATATCTAATATGAATTCTGTAAAGAAAATTTCCCTATTTCCACTGCTTCCGTCATGTCGTGTCCAGCTCGTATGTTTGCACATTGATGCCAATACAAATTTTTGATAATACGGAGGTCTCGGTCATCAATTCCCATCTGTTGCAAGACACCTATAAGTTTGTCATGGTCTACTCGGTCAAGTGCCTTTTCGAAATTGATAAAACACATATATACTGATTTTTCTATATCCCTACATCTTTGAACCATAACCTGCAAACTGAAGAGTGCTTCTCTGGTTCCAGGTTGTTTCTGAAACCTAATTGTGCTTCACTTAGTTGTACTTCTATTTTGTTGTAAATTCTCGAGTGCAGTATTCTTAGGAAAATTTTCAGTACATAAATCATCAGAGTGGTAGTGCGATGGTCGCTACACTGTTTGGCATTTTTTTTTTTTTTTTTGGTATCATTACAAATGTTGAGAGTAGCCAGTCTGTTGGTATATGTCCTGTTTCGTATATTTTATTAAACAGGCTTAGAAGAGAATATTTGCCCTTATCGTCGAGCAGTTTGATTATTTCGCTTGGAATTTCATCTGGACCGGTTGCTTTTCTATTCTTTGATAGCTTTATAACTCTTTCCATTTCATCGAGTGTTATGTTTGGATCAATCGATATATTTTTGATTTAAATTTCTGTTCTATCGTCATCAAACAGCTCCTTAATATATTCTTTCCACCTCTATAATCTCTCTTGTTCATTGACTATAATATTTCCTTGTTTATCAACTAAACTACTTGCAGTTGATCTATACGTTCCAGTTATTTCTTTCACCTTTTTGTACATATTGAACGTGTTATTCTTTTTCTGTAGTTATTCTATTTTAAGACATTTGTTGCTGTACCATTTTTCCTTTGCATCCCGAATTTTCCTTTTGATTTTTTTATGAATTTTATTGTATTCTTCAGTGTTTTTATTTTTCTGTTTTCGCCTGCTTTCCATTAGTTCCAATATTTCATCAGTCATCCATTGTTGTTTGCGATTATTAATAATTTAATACTTTTAGTTGTTTCTTGTATAATGCTTTTGACATGATTCCAGTGGTATTCGATGTTATGTGTTTCTTTCGATTTTTCGAACTTCTTTTTTATCTCTTGTAATTTTATGACTATTATTTTGAATACAGTTAGTCTTTATTCGATTAGTTGGTTGTTGGCGTTTTACTATTTTACTAAAGAAAGATATTTCTTTATATACAATGAATGCGAAACCATTCAGGTAGTTAGTGACTTCTTCTCCGGAATAAAATACATCGTGGTCGTCTATGTTACATTTACCAGTCCCTGACCACCGCATTTCGCTTATCCCAAGAACTGGTATATTGAGCCTTATCATCTCACGTATGATGTTTTGTATCTTACCAGGCTCGTAGAGACTTCTCACATTCCATGTGCCTATTCTGATACCTGATTTTATTCTGATTTCTTTTCCTCTATCACAGAGATTTCGAAGGATAACGGCCTGGGAAGCCCTGTGTGCTTATCTTCTCCTGTCGGATCTTGTTATTACATATTTCTCAATAAAATTAAATGATTTTTTTAAACAGATTTACTTTATGGCAAGGCAAGACTCCCAGGTGTTGCTAACCCGAGACTAGGTGCCTCTGTGGGAGCTCAGTAGAAGTTCAAAACATGCAAAAATTTTAATAACTTTGAAAAAACTTATAACTCCATATTAAAAAGTATTGGCTGCATTGTAAATGAACGTTTTTTGTACTTCTCTTTTTGCGGTACCATATTAGGTGCCCCTGACGTTGGCAATTACATTGGTGAGTTAGTTGTTCCCGATCTTCAGCTAATTGGAGTAGTCCTGAGAATGACATCTGCTTGATTCCAATTCCTCCATGGCACTCAATTTTACATTTCTCTTCTCTAAGAACATATCCTAGGTATACAATGTTTCTTATTTTATTAGTTTTCAATAACTCACGTACAGCATTTGCTCTATTTAAGACAGTTTAAATTCGGAGCCTTTTTATATGCAACCACATCTCAAATATAGTAATGGATCTCTGATAATTGACACCGGCTAACACAATTCGCAATATCTAATAACATGATCGTTAAATCCACCCAATTCGAGAGAAAGGACATTTACAAGGTTACATGGGTTTCAAATGATGGAAGAACACGAAATCAAATAGATCATGTCCTCATTGACGCAAGACACTCTAGTAGTATTATTAATTTGCGAAGTATGAGAGGAGCTGACAGCGATAGCGATCAATTTCTGTTGAAATCAAAGTTAAGAACGCGATTATCAATACAGAAACTGAAACAACAAAAAAAAAAGAGAAATGTGGAACATAAAAGCCCTACAAACACCAAATAAAGAACTGGATTATTAAGTGGCAATAAGCAACAGATTCCAATTGCTGGGAGAGGAAGAGCATAAAAAAACTTAATGCATGTTGATGTAATTCAGAGTTAAAAACCTTGGTACACTTAGTATATTTAAAACTAATTTAAGAAACGTTCATTGAACGTGCATTGAGACTAAAATAGTAAATGAATATTTTCGGTGTAAATAATTATACACTGAGGTTTCATCAAAAATCAATCAACTATATGGATTCCCTGAAAATCTTTCGTAGTTTTACCACTGGATTTTACTAAAAACATTTCCGTGCTAATCAGAAATTATTGGGTATCTAAAATACCAATTAATAAGATTGACGTGGGAATAGGGAATACCACATTACTTATTACTGCTTCTACGCCTTCTACTATTGTATTACCCTTAACAGCAAAATATATTTTTAGAAATTACAAGTTTCATTAGTTTAAAGGAAGCTTAATATTAGATTAATGTAAGCAAAAATATAGAGAGTGGGAAAATTCCAATATTATTTGTTCTATATCTCCCTATTCCCAGATATTTAAATTACATTTCCTACCTTAATATTTTTCCGTCGATTTCAATTCAAGTCGAAATTCAAAATCTAAGCAACATTTCTAATTATATTATTTATATGTAGTTTATATATGACATCAGTAAAATATCACATTTTGATTTAATTTTCCATGTATTTGTTACATTTTTTCAGGCATCTATCAATGGTGAATAAATCTTCTTCTTTTTTGTTACCAAACAAAAAAGAATTTTTAAACAAAATTTTATTTTGACAATATAATTGTCAAAGATAAAAATTTTTAAGTTGATATTTATGACATTGAGGCTAATTTGTAACTATTCACTTTTATTTACAAATTCAATTGTTTTTGTTGAAACTTTTTCAAAATTAAAATTTCAGAGAAACATTTATTAGAATAGAATATTTTTGTATTAATATTTTTTGTAATATTATGTTAGCAGCATTTTTTTATACAAAACTAATTTTATTTGGTGAGTTAACAAAAATTATTTATTTCTAGTTCAACTTTGTAAGATGTTTTGTATTTTTTAGCAGCTCTTGATAATAATTCTAAACATAATTGAAAGCTCGAGTAAAAAATAGTTAACAAATAGCCCCTTTTATTGGCTCCAACCCATCCAAAGCAGTTTTTTACTGAAATTCGACCTTTCAAACAAAGCAACTAATAGAAACTAATAGAGAAATCAAAGAAAACGAAAACATTGACGAAGAAAAACTACG